GTCTTTGTCTCAAAAAGTAGTCTAACATGACTAGTCCAAAATTTTTGTGCGTCATTAATCCAGGTCCTGATCAGGCGATTGACGGGTGTCATTGCACATGTCTAGTCTAGTCTTACTATGTAATGCGCAGACTGATCTTGGACGAGGACTTTTTGAGACAAAGCGTAGTCGGGACGAGTGACAGAGACGCCCGTTCGAAAATGATTTATGATTAAAAAAGTAAGGACGTCGGAGACGTACATAGGACGAGTTTTAATCTGATGTAGTGAGCGAATCCGGACTACTCTAAATGGAAATATGTAAGGATGAAGGTTAGATTCGAACATGCATACAATGTATCATTTACTCATCGTTTAGACCATTGAGCAATATGATTAAGAGATCAACTTCTATATGTTCATAATCATTCTAAGATGCTATTTAATACAGCTTTATTCAAAGTTTTCTAAGTTCTCATATCAATAAAAAATTATCATTTACAGAATACGAAATTATTTAGACAACCTTAAACAAAATAAATTTAAAAAATTTTATAATTTTCGGAGGAATATCTTTTGATTATTATCAACTAGGAGTAATTTTAGTTGCGTTAAAAAGATAAATTTTAAACATAAAAATATTTAAATCATTTTTAACTTTTTTTTAAAATTTTGTACATCTAATAATTTTAAAATATATAAATTAGCACTTTTCTCTGCGAGATAAATATTGTTCTTTGTAGTTCGACATTTTCGTGTTTCGATATACTCTTACATTTGCAACATATGAAAATGCAAAATATAATAAGATATATCAAGACAGAGATGCACAAATGTTACTGTCTATCTTTGATCTCACTATTGATGATGCCAGACTTTCTAATTGTCGTTCTAGTTAGAAAAAAAAATTAATAACACAGGTAACAGTCGACATAATTTTAATATAAAATAAGTGCATTTCATTAATTACCGTAATCATAATATAACACATCATGCTTAATCATCAATCTATGAAGGTTTCAGTACAAGACAGGCAATAAAAGGATTGTTATTCTACTATCTAGTCCATGTTCTAAATGAATTTGATTATTCATCGATTATTTTTAGTATATGATACAGATATTGAAAATTTTTTTCTACTTACATTCTACTCCTTTTACTTCCTGTTGTTGATCAGTTTAAACGAATTAGTAGCACAATTTAGTCCAAAGAAAATGGGTTGTTTACAGTTTTCCAGACTAGTCTGGACTTGGATGGGTGATACACTCTTTAAAAAAGGACAAGACATGATACGTGCAGACGACGCTTCGGACTAGTCCTGACTACTATTAAAGACACTTCAGACTAGTCAAAGTCGTTTGACATCGACTGGTTTCTGATTGTCTAGTGGATGGACGGGAGTCACTCTATGATTTAGACTGTATTAACTGACTTCAGTTTATTGTAGTCTCCTAGTCTGTCGTCAAGATTCCCGTCATGTTTCGAATACTGCCGGGTTGGATGTTCAAACCGACCTTTCATCTTCTTTTTTTAGTCTTCCGACTAGTCTGGACAGGGTCAACGGACAAAACGGACTAGACATGACTGGGTTCAAGGACATTCTGGACTGGTTCAGACGTGTTGGAAGGACATTTCTCCAAAAGGTGATTAATTATGACGAATGTGCAAGACATTTCAGACTAGACCTGACGGGTATTGCAGACATTTCGGACTAGTCATATCGGCAGTCTTCCTTTATTTTTTGCTCACTTGGAAGTGATCATTTTCAATTGTTGTTGTTGATATCGTGCGATAGCAGGCAAGCGAGAACAATTTTTCGACTTTTTTTTGTGAATGTGAATCAAAGTAAAATTAATTAAGTTTGGTTGTTGTTAGACTTGTACTAAAGTAAATATTATTTCGACATGTACAGGGTGTTACATAACCTTTTTCTCCCCCTCTAGCAACTTCAGCTGTAAATGATATTGCAAAGCATTATATACCAAATTAAAGCGCGTCAAAAACTGGATTCATT